ACTATGTTATACATCTGAAACTAAAAAAAAAATAATATTGAATGCAAACTGTAATTGAAAAATATAATATAAAACATTAAAAAATAATAAATTCTTCAGTTAGTACAACAGCTCAAAATTTGTCCTAGGCTAACGTGAATGAATTCATGCTTTTGCTACTGGTGCTGTAGTTGTTAATGTTGCAGTTTTTTTGTTGTTGAGTCTACATCACGAATCATATAGATTTAAAGGAGTGAGCCTTCAGATGTAGCAATTTTAATTGCATGGCTACACACACAAAAATTTCATCCAGATATGGGACTCTGGCACACTCAGATAAATCTTTTTTTTTATTATTTTTAAATAAAAAAATAAAGGAATCTAACTTAAAATGAAAATCAACATTACAGTTAGAGTTTATTAAAATCTTTTAAATTTTCCTTTTCAAACTAAATTATTCACAACTGACCCTGATTTCCAGGTTTAAAAGCCATGATGACAGATTATAAAATCCAGGGCCCAATAGTCAAGTCACTGTTTTAAATAAGCATTTTCCTTAGAGACTTTTGCTAGATCTTGCTCTGTTTAGTGCTGAAGTTCAGAGAAATTGTAGGGATAGCTGAAAGCCATCTAAGCAATCAACACATGCCAAGGTCTGAACCTCCTTGAGTTCACGCAGTAAATCAGGGACGGGCCCAGAGAAAATGGCTTTGTGCCATATTTTACATAAGGAGCCTCTAGTCTTCAGTAAGAACTCTTAAGGTATCCCTTAATTCCCTGTCTCATTCCTGGAAACTTCTATCAAGGAACCAACTCTAATGTACTAAAGAAAATAGGAGGAGTCTGGCTGAAAAGTTTGTGTTCATAATTTCACAATCCAAGGAGAATGCTGCTTTACCTACCTAGGTTTAGATTTTCTTCACGCTGGGATTAGGCCCTTGCAGTAGTGGTCAGACGGGTCAGTGAACGTGCGATAGTGAACTAATTTCCATTCATTCAGCAAACATTGCCTGAGTGCTTACTAGTTAGCCAGATGTGGCACTAGACAAGGACATGTTTTTGAACACTTCACTCTCACCTCCTCATCCCCAACCCGTCCGCCCCCCCCTACCAACATGAGGCAGTTCTCACAAATGAAAGGAGCTCTTTAGGAATGAGTTAATGTCAGTTTATCCCTAGCTGGAGAGACTGATCTATAAAGTAAAGCTTGAAATTGCTGAGAGCTGCCCTGGCACCTTCTGGATACAGACCTTGACACCTACCTCATACCACCAGCCCGTGGTTTGTAACCACCAAACATTTCAGAGTGTAGAATAAACGTTGCCTTTGAAAGCTGAAGCCTGTCAGAGGTTGCATTGTGAGCTCGCAAAGGGACATGGTCAGGAAGTTGGCTTCTCGGGTAGTCTTTTTTTTTTAAATCATTTGCTGTTATTATTGCACTGGTGAAAGCTAAAGTTTTTCCTCAGGAGAATACAATCTACACACCTACATACTTACAAATGATTTCAGAAGGTTCATACACGTGTTAGAAACCTCAGGTCTTGGAATGAAAGAAACTTCCCCGAAAGTAGAGGTGAGCGAAGACGCCTACAACGGTCTCAAGTGGCAGAGCCCAGTCTCTAGCAAAGTGGTGTCCACTGCGCCCTGACCCTGAAACTGCATAGAAAGTCTAAGTTTAGGGCTGAATACACAAATTACTGAGCCCCAAAGCCCAGGACTATGTCTCAGCACCAACTGTTTACTTCTGGCTCCAGGACAAGTGAGCCCAGGATCCGACATTCTGAACCTTGTCCCTTGCCTCATGCCTTTCCCTGCTTTTTCTCTGATGCACACCTGCATGCTACTGAGCAGTTCTTCCATTTCTGATTCCCCTGCTCATCTGCCCCGCGGAGAGCCAGCTTCACACACCTACTCCCCTAGCCCGGAGTTTTTACTTTCTCCTGGCAGTGGTGCCCCATGAGTTAAGAAGAAGAAAAGCTGAATAAGACAGAGCATCTTCAAAGTTAGGCGTTCCTAAGAAAAGAGGTCACCAAACTGGAAGGAGAAGCGATGTGGTGCAAGGCAGGTGTGCCCTAGGAAATGCTGAGGATTCTGGAGACGGAGGACTGCGGTGTGAAATTGTGTGTTGGGTCACTCACAGCGCATGGAGGGATAGTTTCTCTCTGACTGAGAACCCCTCGCCCGGGGGGGGGGGGGTCCTTGCTTGCCCCCCACGGCCCGGATACACATTTGCTATGCTCGCTGCACTGAAAGACTGTACAGGCTGCTGCAGAGTGTGCTCTGCAGGCTCAGACGCCCAGATCCTGGAGGCAGTGAGAATCTTCTTTCTCCGTAGTTTACCCTTGGAGGTATTAAAAAAAAAAAAAAAAAAGTAAGCAAGTCCTGGGACATTCCAGACGGGTTTGAGGCAGAAAGCTCAGGGGAAGGGTCCTGAAACTGGTTGTGCAGGTTGTGAGAGGGTCAAGGCGCTGAGCAGGTAGGTGTTAAGAAGAACGCTGATTTTGAGAGGACAGGTATGATGCAGACGCATCACCAACAGGCAGGTGTGCGGGTATGACCGAACCAGAGGCTCCCGAGCAGGCTCGGGACCTGATTCCGCGCGAACCCGGGCTGTTATCCTTGCGCACAAGCGCGGTTTTTGCGAGTGCCAATACTGTTGTGAGTGGGCGTGTGTGTGGAGACAGAAACGGGTTTGCATGTGTGGAAGAGAATGACTGGAAATGACAGTGAGTGGGTCTCCACGGGGACGTTTTAGATCCATCAAGCCCGCTCTGCTCTCTAGTGGAGAACCGAAGTGCCGAAGATGTAGGTGCAGGTCCGGAATCGCGCGCCATTGGGGCATCTTGGCAAACAGCTGTTGGTAAGAAGGGCGGCTGGACTTCCCTCTCCAGCAGGCAGAAGAGTGATGGGAGATGGATGGAGGGGTAGTAAGGAGAGGACTAGGGCTGTCTGAGGGTTGGGCAGCCATCTCTGCCTCTCCCCCTCCCGCTGTCGGCCGGCGGCTCATTGGCTCTTTCCACCCACGTGACGGACCGCCCAGCGCGGTCGCGCGTAAGTCGGGGAATCCTTTAGTGTAGACTCCTGATCCTAAGGAATCCGGTATGTGGACCTGGAACCTCTTCCACGTCCCTATCTAGCTAAGGGAAAGACACATGGCTAGCTACTAACAACATCGTTCCTTCCAGACGGTAAGATGATTCCCATTTCAAAGATGAGTACAATTGACCATTGAATGTGACAGGGGCACAGGCCTCCTGCATGGTAAAAATCCAGGTGTAACTACAGTCCACCCTACGAGTACTCAAATTTCCAACTGCGGAGCTAACCCTTGAACAAGACAGTTTTTAAGCATGCAGCTCCAAAAACTACGTGGGTCAAACGAACCGCCATCAGTTGTACCGCACTGATCAACTAAACTTTGCGCGGTCAACGGAAAAAAAGCCTAGTATAATTGGATCTGCCCAATTCAAACCTTAGTTAAAGGTAAACTTGACTTTGAAGCTCTGAGAAGTTACTTGCCCATAATCCTACCTCTCGGAATTGGTGCCCCTGAAATTCAGTTTAGTCTGACAAAGTTCTTACTCCCAATTCCACCTCTCGCTCCCCCATGACGAGTCCGGTCCTCTGTGAGTGATTCCAGATGCCTGAAGTAGACACTCTAGTTGGGTCCAGAATTAACACTGATATGTACTAACTCTCCAAGCCTCACATGCGCAGGAGTCTAGAGTCAGATTTGGGAGAACTGGGAGCCCTTGCTACCACAAGGATCCTGTCCTATAAGACAGCACAGCTGGGAATGGAGTGAGGATGCACAGTCAAAACCGGATGAAATTGAACAGGTGAAACTGGCAATGACATCAAACTGCCTTCAATACTCTGCTCACTTTGTGGGGGGTTTTCTTGGTCCCCACCACTCCCACCTCCCCTTTCCATCAATGACCTCAATGCAAATACAAGTGGGATGATCCTGGTGGATGCTACAGGTTCTGTACGCAAGTGGGTGATACATATACGTCAGAGGCACAGGGTCCTTCTCATTGGTTGCGTGGAGCTCCTGGACCACCCCAGACCCGGAGCAGCGGGAATAAGAGGAGCCGCTGGTGCTGAGAGGCATCAGAGCGACTTTCCACTTGGAGTGTTGCCTGAAACGAACCCCCCAGCTGCTGCTGCAGCTACCTGCTGCCAGGTGAGCCTCCAGACTTCGGCTTAACTGTGTCATTCTCTTTATCTCTCCTTTCCCTCCCTTTCCTCTCTCTGCATTACTCTATCTTTTAGTCAAATCTTCCTGCCAGTGTCAAAGTCTTCGTCCACTTCTGTTTGTGTCTGTTCATCGCACAGTTTTTATTAGTCCGTTATTCATCCCAGACTTCTCCCCAGGTTACGCTAAACAGTCTCAGTCCAGGGACTTCCTGCTCCATTACTCCCACGTAGAGCGGGGTCTCCAGTCTCCTCGTTTTGAGCTGCACTCGTTCAGACCGATCTCTGCCGCGGAAGCACACCAGGCACTGCGCACAGGACAGGACGCGGACAGGACGCGGACAGGACGCGTAAGTGGCTCTTTCTGCAGACTGTGCGCTCACGGAGCCCGTTTCCCGCCTAGTGGACCCCAGGAAACCGATTCGGAACCTGGTTAGCAAACAGGCGCAAAGACCTAGGGCATCAGCCCTCAACTGCAAGCCCCAGTCGTGAGTCTGGGTGCTTTTTCCCCCGTTTAAATCCTGTGTCTCAATTAAAGATTCTGCTAACCTTGGTTCTTACAGGGGTCTCTTTGCTAGAATTTGGAGCTGAATTTGGTTGTTTAGTTTCTCAGAGATTCCAACCACAGAGATATGCCCTCTCTACCACCTTTTCCTGTATGCACCGCTAAGTGTGAGCAAAAGCCCCACACATGGGTGACAGCTCTGAGTTGCATTAAAGGTATGCACTGTTGTGCCAGGATGCTCTAGGACGGTCCTTGATGGAGACCTGGTGTATCTTACTGCTGTAGGGCTGACAACATTTTTTTCTTGTAGAGAGGCATCATGGGCTTCTGGAAGTGTTCCCCCTCCCTGGCTCTTGGCATCTTGGTCCTGTACCAGGCAGGAGTCCTCCAGGCAGCGCCATTCAGGTGAGACAGCCCTGCCAGCAGTACACTCCCCTCCCCCTGCCCCTGGGATCAACCAGTTCTGTGATCTGAACTGTGGTGTGCTAGAGGTTTAACCACTGCTGGGGGGGGGGGGGAGGAAATGTTTGTGTGGAAACCTGCATATAAGTTTTTATGACATAAAGATGTGTTGAATGCAATTTACAAATAAAAATAAGATATACAATGTTCTTTTTTTATATAAATTTTTTTTAGATTTTATTTATTTATCTTTAGAAGGGAAGGGAAGGAGAGAGGGAGAGAAACATCAATGTATGGTTGCCTTTTGTGCATCCCCTGCTGGGAACTGGCCTGCAGGGAACCGGCCTGCAACCCCGGTATGTGCCCTGACTGGAAATCGAACCGTGATTGTCTGGTTTGCAGGCCCGCACTCAATCCACTGAGCTACACCAGCCAGGGCTTACAATGTTCTTTGTTATGAATTTTATATACCTCTTTAGCCTCACAGAATGCTTTCATGCTTTTTACCAAATATTTGCATCTGTAGGAAACCTATTTATCTAATTCAATCACAGTTTGAGAAATAAATTGCATCACAATCTGTTGTTTTGCCAATGACTTTGTTGTTATTAAATTTAATATGTGCTCTATTAATCTACTTTCTTACCCTCGTGCAAACTTGGCTAACTATCCTGAAAATGATCATTGTATTGGGTTCGCTTCCCCTCCCCAGGTCCAACCTGGAGAGCCGCATGGATCCTGCTGCATTCGAAGAGGATGACTTGTGCCTCATACTGGCTGAGATGGTGAAAGACTACATGCAGAAGAAAATTGGTGATGTGGAACAGGAGCTGGAGACTGAGGACTTCAGGTAGGTTAGGCATCTGCCCAGCACAGGGCATGTCCCCTCCCCAGTCATGCCCAGGAAGGCATGTCCTGAGAAGTCAGAGAGAACACAGTCAGACAGGTGACCAGCAGGCTGTTCACCCCAGCCTGGGTCCAGCTGCTCTCAGGCTCCACTGAAGACAGAGGTCAGACGGAGAGACTATGGTTAGACCACATGCACAATGAAGGCAAAGGCCTTGCACAGGGTGGGGTCAGGTAAAGCGGTGTCTGAGGTAAGTCAGAGCCATCTGTAGATCTGCTGACAGCACTGGGAATGACTATGGAAAGTGATGATAACTTTTTCCATAATGACCTAAACGTTGCTGCTGTTTAGGTGAAAACCCTGAGGTTGATTGGTGCCTCTCAGAGCAGTAATTTTACCATGATGGTCCCAGAAGGTGGGCTTGCCCACCTCACCCCCTCAAACTCTCACTGACAGGTCTTCGCTTTCTCTCCATCCTATGAATCAGTGTCAACACCCAGAAGAGAGCCTGCAACACTGCTACCTGCATGACCAATAAGCTGGCAGGCTTGCTGAGCAGATCTGGGGGCATCCTGAAGAGCAACTTTGTGCCAACCTATGTGGGCTCCAAAGCCTTTGGCCGTCGCCGCAGGGACCTTCGGGAATAAGCGGGTAGAAGGTGACTGCCCTTCTTCTGTTCTTGGATGGGAGGGTGGACAACTAGGTATCACAGGGGAGCAGTCCACTCTCTAACGGACTCTGGGCCCATAACAATAAAAAATCCACTGGAAAAGCTGCTCACTCCAGTGTCTGGAGGACAGAGTCTTAACAGCGGAAACCCCAGGCTTCTGGGCTCATTTTTCTGTTTTTTCAGTGTCTCCCTATGACACTGAGATCATCTGCCAGGAAATAGTGACCCTATTCATTTACAGTGCTGTTTGCTGGAGCTGTAATTGTGACTATACTAGCAAGTTTAAAAGAGACTGTGCTTTTGGACTATACACTACAATGTTGTGTACATTTGAGTGCACAGCATACACTTGCGGTCAAGAACTGTGTTTGTCCTCTACTACCGATATGACCTTGGGCCAGACACTTTTTTTGAGCCTCAGTTTCCCCATCTGTAAATTGAGGGCAATGATAGCAGCCACCTGCTACTATTATCATAGAGAAAAATAAGATAATGGGTGTCAATAGCTTCACAATTAATAACTAAATTCTAGCTGTTGTTCTCTTTCTCCTAGATCACCCTGAAGCTGAACCTCACTTCTTTAAATTGGCTTAGAGGAATGCATGGAAAACACACCCTTCTGCATGCTACTTGACATTAAAACACCCGGTCCTACCTAAAATAAAATAAATATAACTGCATATTACCTGGTGTGCATCTCTTCGTATCTTATTCTATATTCAATACATATGACGGCAAATCTCACCGGCTTACCTGGTAGCAAACCGGGGCTGGGCCCAGGCAGCCAACCTGGTGAAGGTGGCAGTTCTGCCCAGCCTTCAGGGGACATGAAATTGCCACCTCCTGGGTGTCTGGGGACACATAGTAATGCTGAGCCTCAACAGAAATCTTTCTTTAAAGAAAGCTTGTCTTTTGAGAACCTCACCAAGAAAAAAAAAGTCATTTTATACACTTAAAAGTAATTTGATACACCTGCAGTTTGTGCTGTTTTCCCAGTCTCAGGGACCTGTGAACACTTAGTTGACCAGGCTGACTCAAAAGAGGGAAAGGTAAGGTTAAACTTTTTGCCCTTATGACATTAGGATGGGTCTTCAGAATCCTAGACCTTCAGTTCTCAGTAAAATATCCCTTGTTGGGCCCAAATGGCATGGCTCAATTTGTTGGGCATCATCCCACACAGTGAAAGGTCATGGGTTCAATTCCTGGTGAGGGCACAGGCCAGGGTTGAGGGTTCAATCCCTCATTGAGGCATGTACTTGAGGCAATCATTCAATGTGCTCTCTCACATGGGTGTTTCTCTCCCTTTCTCTCCCTTCCTTTTCCCTATAAATGAATGAACGAATGAATGAATAAAATTAAAATGAACAAAAATTAAAATATTCCTTGTTGGAATTAGAACCCTGTGCATTTCAAAGAGACAATTCACATTTATTTTCAGACAGTGCCCTGGTCCACAGCTTCAAAGGACATCTGTTCCCTACTCCTTAATTCAGGTTACCCAGCCCTGCCTTTCCTCCCCATGAGCACCTCCCCTGCAAACACCCCATAGCCAGCAAAGCCCTTTAGCCACACTAGCTTGGAGTTTGATTAGGAATCACAGACTGGCAGACCTAGAAAGGCCACCAGAGGCCATCCAACCTGGCTTTTTCCTTCTCTGACATGCAGAGAGGTGCACTGCTTCAGTTCCTGTGGTGAGTCTAACATACATCCATACATTTAACAAATACTAATCGAGGACCTGCTACATTCTCGACGCAATTCGAGCCACCAGGAATAGAGCAATCAACAGAAGAGACAAACCCTTACATTCACGGAGCTCCATTCTAAAGTGGGGGAGACCGAGGTGACGCATGCTGTGAAATCAGACACTCCGCATTGGAAGGAATCTGGGATGTCATAGGGTAGAATGCCTTGTCCAAGGCAGAGATCAGCATCCCGGCATTGACACCCCTGGCACCTGCTGGGACTGCTGGTGACAAGCCGCTGACTGTGACTCCTGGGAGACTGGGAAGCCAGTTTCACTCATAGACAGTCAATGAACTGGGATTATTTAGTTACAGAGATCAGCCACTTCCATCCATTGACTCTATTATTTCCTCAGGAGCATATAGAATTGTGACCCTTGCTCCTGTTTGGTCTGTCATCCACACTATAGCCCAGCCTTTGCCTAAGATGTAGATCAGACCAAGCCTCCTTTATTCACAAAGTTGACTCCCTACCTCACAAAGTAAATACCTGGAGCATCACAATGTCTCACAAGGTCCAAGCTGACCTGCCCTTCCTCTCCTCTCACCACCTGCCTGGCCTCATCCTCTACTTCTCCCCCACACATTGGCCTTCTTACTATCCCTCATCGCCTATCCCCCAGCACCAATCCCTAGGCTTTGCCCCTCCAGGTGTTAGCACTCACTGGTTCTGGACTCTGTGCAGAATGCTCCTACCCTTGGCCCTGTCTCCTCCAGATCTCTACTGAAATGTCACACATGCTGGCCCTCCTCTGTCAAATGGTACCCCACCCTGCCAACACACTCTCACCCTCCCCTCCTTGCTTTGTTTTCTCTTTACCACGTACTACCTTCTATCATATATATATTTCTAATTATTCACCTTATCGCTCATACCCCATTCTGTAAACTGTATAAGCTCCACATGGACATGCATATGGCTATTTTGTTCATTGCTGAATCCCCTACACACAGAGCAGGATGCCTGGCAAGAGGTAGCACTCGAGAAATATTTACTGAATGAGTGGAATTCAGTCCTTTTTAATGTTTTTGGTCAACTTTCGGGATCTCTCTTGGTCTGATTTTCTTCAGGTTAAACTGTCCGAGGGCCTGCATCGTCGGTATTTACATCACCTAGAGAGTGATCCCTCAAATGCCCGAAAACTTCTGCCATGGCTGCTAGTTACTAGTGAGTCTGTTCCTTGATCAAGGCCTCCTCAAGCACTATTTCTTCACTTTGACCAATCTTCTCACCCTCCATTTCTCCTTCCCTGGATCGATATGACTAGCTTTCCTTACTCCCATGCTGTAAACACAGCAGACTGGTAGGGTGCTCTCTAGGAGTGATACCTATGACTAGGCAGGTAAGTTCAAATCAGGAAGGGAGGAAGCAGAAAGACCAATTTAGTCTGGGGTCCTATAAGCTTCACCAATAATTGAATTAATACTTATTAAATTCCCAGCTGAACTCTGGATATTTCTCAACAACTCATAAAGTAAAAGAGTAACCAATTTATTTTTTAATTTATGATTTATTTTTGAGAGTAACTAATTCAAATTTTCAAACCACTACACAACATGCACTGAATCAGAATGCTGAGAGTAGATATAAGTACACAAGGCAATCAAAGCACAATATAGAGAAACAAAGACTTTTTGTGTGGCTGCAGCATCATTTATTTCTCCTCAAAACCAGCATGGGCCAGTATGGCAAAGGAATGTCTTTTAATGTCAATTAAAGCTCATGCCAAACACTCATATGCTGAGGCTCATTGAATTATTGCGCTTGATTCTTCACTCTGCCACAGTAGTATTATATTTGCTCACACTTCCCATAGCAACATGGTTGGTGAAATAGACATCCCTGCCCCTTTGTTTACGGGGTTGGCTGAGTGATTTCTTTTTGCCCTTATGACATTGGTAAGCATGGTGAAGGTGAGGCTTTAAATGTGCTTACGTGGTTGGCTTTTGTGTTCTTGTAATTCTGCCACCTCCATGAAAAGAGCATGCCTTAGGTGTCTTGGATATGTTAGCCTGGGCTCCAAAATGAGACCTGTGGAATAAACCTGACCTTAGCCTGAATGCACTTGCAACCAACACCAGCTGGAGATCATCCTCGTCCTTACCACACACACATGGGCAAAAAAATAAATATTTGTGTTTGAGATTTTGAGGTTGTTTCTATGTATCATTGTTGTGGCAATAGCTAAGTGGTATGTATGAAATGGTAATGTTATAAAGTGAATGTGACTTTACCAGATTCAACTCCTGATCTCATTATGTTTGGAGATAGGACCCTTAGGGTGGGTAATTAAGGCTAAATGAGATTCTAAGGGAAGGACCCTAATCTAATAGGACTAGTGTCCTAATAAAAAGATGAAGACAGGCAAAGCTCTCTGCCTCTCCCTCTCCTCCCCCTCCTTCTCCCTCCCCCTCACCAAGCACACACAAAGGCGAGGCTAGGTGAGAACACAGCGAGTAGATGGCAGGAAGAGAGACCTTCCCACACACCATCACTGATGGGACTTTGATCTTGTACTTCTAGCATCCAGCACTGAGAGGAGGAAATAAATTTCTGTTGTTTAAGCCGTTCTGCTGTGGTTGCCAGAGCATACTAATAGAAGGGGCATTAGTTGATGGAATTATTTTTGCTACCACAGCTTGTTTTTTTTTCTCACTGAGATTTGGTTTCTGAATCAATTTTTCTAATGGCCAATTTATCAAATTTACCCGTTTCTTTTTATGAATTCATTTACATTTTGTTGGGTTTTTTCTAAAGATCATCTTTAAAAATGTTCAGTTCGTTTTGGTTTTGTCTCCTATGGATGAACCTAGATAACATGCCTTAGATAAATTAATTGTGTCTTATTTTTATAATGAATTAGTACCATATATTACACAATGGTGATATATTATATGTGTATCACATAGAATATTCAGTGCTAATAAAATAAAGCAAGCTGCAGAGTATATATACCAGATTATATCATTTGTATTAAACTTAAAGCATGCATAACATTACTATACATAACTCAGGGATGCATGCACATGTAGTAAAAAGTACAGTCATGTGCCGGGAGTGCAAACATCACACCCCAAACAGTGATGAACTTGGAAGGGGTGGGCAGGAGATCCCATGAAGAAGGAAGGGCACAGAGGCAGCGTCTGCCAAGGCTTTGTTTCCTGAGGTTTCATTCTCTAAGCTTGGCCATTGGCATATAATGGTTGGTCACTATATTTGTGTTTAATGTGA